ATTACCTATTGATTCATACATAGAGATCTATTTGGTGATCTCCATCTCAGTATTACTCTTTGCCCTGCTGGCTTCAGAAATTAGGAACAAACGGGCCCTGCCATGCTGTTCTGATGCTCCTGATTTGTATTTTTGCACAAAGGTAAAAATGACCAACCTGCCTGGCAGAGCCAGGTATGCTATACTGCCGGAGGAAATGCTTTCAGCCAACATGGCTCCGTTCTTCATGAACAAAGTCATGTTCTTTACGAGGAAAAGAATACCGTGAATACCAAAATAAGCATGTACAAGTGATTTTTACTTTTTAAAATGACACTGCATGTATGTGGTCCAAATATATCAAGGTCTGTGTAAAATAGAGGCTTGGGAACCAGAGCCACCTTCCAGGGTGCCCAGCCCGTTTACAGGGGGCCCAGCCTCACCCAAGAGTCCTCCTGGGCTGTGCCCACTTCACGTCCAGTTGAGGATGAGCTGCAAGTTGGCCAGATGTCTGTGGAATTTCTGTGACTTAAAAAAAAGAAAGCTTTCATTATGGGTGCGCTCTTTCCTCTCTCTGCAGGCAGGTAACTTGCAGACCCACCTCCGCCGGCACTCTGGGGAGAAGCCGTACATCTGCGAGATCTGCGGAAAGAGGTCAGTGCCTCCTTTCAGTGTTCTGTCCCCGCCACACAAGGGCTCCTGCTGCCGCTGCAGAGCACAGGGCCGGCCACACCCTCGGGCTCTTACGTGACATGCCAGGAGGAGGAGAAGTGAATTCAGAGAAAGAAAATTAGGCCAGGAGTCTCAAGAGTGAAATGGGACTGCATGAAACAAGTTGTTGTATACTAAAACTTTCGCTCATTCCAAAAATGTCCATGGAGAGAGACTAGTGTCCCCAAGGGGGTACTGTCTAGGCGGGGAAACCTGAGGTGAGCGACGAGGCATTGGGAGGGCGGGTGGCAGAAGCGGCCCTGGATCGTGGACCCAAACCAGGTGTGAGCTGGGCGGCAGGAAGGTGCTGAGCCTTGCCAGGTGCATTTTACGGACCTGGCAACAGACTCCAACTGTGGAGCTGGAACGGGTGTGGGTGGCAGCTCGAGTCCTGTGTGCATACCTGGCCCTGCCCAGGGCACAGGCCACAGCTCACCCCCCTCCCCACACCTGGCTGTCTTAGGGCTCAGGCGCTGCCATCTCCTCACCATGGGGTTGGGCTGGCAGTAGCCAGGACAGCCATCACGGGCTGGTGGGCACCCTGCTTCCCCAGTCGCTCGGCATCTGTCAGCTGCCAGCTGTCTGCTCAGTGCTGTGCTGGCAACATAACAAGCAGTACAGATGCTCTGCCTCCGAAGGGTTTGGGGTCAGAGACGGCACAGCCCGGTGGCACCCACAGTCCTCACCGCGCTCTGCAGCACGTCCCGAGGCTCAGGTCAGAACTCCCGTGCTGCCTGGGGTAGGAGACAGAATGAAAGGGACACTGCTGAGCGGACCACAGCCCCCCGCCTGCTGCAGCTGTCTGAACCCTGAAAGCCAAGCTCAGGTCTGGGGGTCATCGGCCCAGGCCTGACCCCCAGGAGCAGAGACCAGTTGCCGCCCAGTGTCCTTTCACCAAGGGCTCCTGAATGTCATTTTCTGCATAGTTTTAAATCACGACCTTCTGAATTTCCTTTCAAATTGTCTCTACACATAGCATCTTCCTCCAGAATGCAACACGCCGTCTGTCGTGCATAGGAAGGTGCACGGGATTTCCACATCCAGGGGCCAAGGGGGGGTCTCTGACTCATCTGGATGGTGACCATCTGCCCCTCAGTTGCCCCACCTGGATGGCCCACACAGCAGTATGGGGTCAGTCAGGTGAGGTGGCAGTTGTCACCTGGCACACAGCAGTCCCTTCTCCCTGTCACAGGGCTGGGTGTGACTGTGTTGTAACTGGGAGACGAGGGGCTTGTTCTGTGGGGCAGTCCGTGAGGCGGGCGAGGCCTCCTCAGGGACCTCCAGGGCTGCTGCTCCACGGCTCCCGATGTCCAGAGCCCCTGTGTGCCCTCACGCTGCAGAAGGGCTGAGCCATAACCAAGCGGGCTGCTGCCCCGACTGTCCCCAGGGACACTGGCAGGACTCAGGCGAGGGGGGGCGTCCCCCTCCTCTGAACTATGCAGCTCCTTTTGATGTCTTTTAGCCGTAGGGAATGGCACTAAACCATGAGGTATCTGGTCTCGTGCTGTATAAATCTTGATGAAGCCAGACAGGAAAAGGATACTCATATCATTTTCTACTTTCCTTGAGAAAGGAGAAGTAAAGCTGTTTTTGTGAATGCGCACGAAATCAGGTCACTGTGACTCCTCCTGACGCAGCAGGGGCGAGGTCGTCTCCTCCGATGACGCCAGCCGGAAAGATCTGCAGCCTTGTCCTGGCTCTTAACTGAACTCTCCAAGTCCATTCCAGGTTTGCAGCCTCTGGCGATGTCCAGCGTCACATCATCATCCACTCAGGGGAGAAGCCACACTTGTGCGACACCTGTGGCCGAGGTGAGGCTGGGCGCCCCCCGCCCCCGGGAAGATTTGGTCACGGGTGTCCCCGCCCTCCGCTCACCACCCTTGTGTCCCTCAGGGTTCAGCAACTTCAGCAACCTGAAGGAGCACAAGAAGACACACACGGCTGACAAGGTGTTCACCTGCGACGAGTGCGGCAAGTCCTTCAACATGCAGAGGAAGCTGGTCAAGCACCGGGTCCGGCACACGGGCGAGCGGCCCTACAGCTGTTCCGCCTGCGGTGAGTGCCGCCGTGGCCAGAGCCGGGCATCCGGGCGCAGAGGGGCTCGTCCCGCCCATCCTCAGCTGGACGGAGTCTGTGTGAGTCACTGTCCCATCACAGGTGAAGAGCAGGTGACGCACATGGTCTCTCCGACACCCTGGTGCCCACATAGCAACACCTGCTGTCCCCAACCCTGGAGCAAAGACCGTCGGGATGGTCCCGGGCACTGAGTGTGGGAAGGGTGCGGGCCACCGAGGGTGCAGATGTGCAGCGGCTCCCACCAGAGGGTGCCCTGGTGGGGCACGGGGCACACACATCAGGGGTGGGGGCAAGGGGTGGGCTCCTTGGGGTCACATCTAGGATGGTAAAGAGGTCATCACAAAGGACAGCAGCAAGTGGGCAGCCCTCAGCCTCACAGTACGTCAGTGCACAGACGGACACAGGACTGAGAGCCGGTCACATGTCGGCCAGGACCTGAACGCCCTCACCCTCGAGATGCTGCCCCTGTATGCCCGTGTGTGCACACAGGACCGGTGCAGCTGGCGGCCGTGGGGTCTAGTGCAGAACTGCATGCTGGCGACATTTAGGGAGTAGTCCCGCTGGGGGAAGGTAGAGGCGGACACCACCTGGGGGGCTCAGCCTAACTGCAGTTGGCGTCATAACCCGGGCAAGAGCTGTGTCCTCAGCTCCCTGTTCTTGTCCACAAAAGATCAGGCATCTCTGTGCCATTCAGATCACACGCAGAAAGTATAGCTTCACACTTTGAAATCTAAATTCAGCCTCAAGTCACTAATACAAACTATCAGGTCCAGGTAATTATCCCAGCTGTGGGCCTGAGGTAAGGTTAAGGCTTCTCTTCCCTCCCCTGTAGGATGTGTCACTACTCCAAGCACGGTCACAGAGGAAGCAGAGACCTTCCCTCCCCACCTTACACCCCCATGCGCCCCCACCCACGAGCCGTGGCCTCTGGCCCCACGTGGTCAGCTTTGGGGGATGGGAGAGAGAAAGCGCAGTGTTCTTGCAAGCCAGGATCGATGTTTCCAACAGCCTTGAGATAACGGTCCCGTAACATAAAACCGATCCATTTCAAGTGACCTGTCAGAAGGGTATAGATACTGACCAAGCTGTATGACTCCCACCACTGTCTAACTTTAGGACCTTTTCAGCACCCCAGAAAGCAGCCCAGATCCCATTCGTGGTCACCCCCTTCCCTGCCTCAGCCACCACGACTCCTGTCTGGGAACTGCCTGTCCCGGCCTTCCTGTAAACGGGGTCCCGAGGCGTGGGGTCTCCTCGTACTTCCTCCGTCTCACATCCCTGCGTCTTCCTGGATGGTTTTCGCATGGCTGTGAGCTCTCATTTTCTCGCAGTACAGATAGGTTCTCCCCGGACAGGTGGCTTCCCGCTCTGAGAGTGGCAGCCTCGGACCTCTTCCTGCTCTGATCATCTCATGGTCCTCTACAGCTGCCCCCCGCGTACCTGACTACCCTCTCCCTGATACAGTTGTGCTCTTCTTGCAAGCGGCCCCTCCCTCTTGTCTTGGGCCAGGCAGCGTTCCCTTTGGGAGGCTCGTTCCTTGGGCCCCACTACCGCGCCAGGGAGCTCTCCTAGTAAATTCAGAGCAGCTGCCCAGTGCCTTGGAGGCAGTGCAGAGTGGAGCCTCCTCTGTGCTGGCAGCGTAGCTGCCCACTGTGTCCCACTGGGCTGACCGCGCAGGAGGCAGGTCCTGCTCCACTGTGCCCTCCCCATGGAGACCCAGAACCGCCCGGCCCCACTCTCCGAGGCATAAGGGGGAAACTTCCCGTCCTCTCCTTTCGTAGCTGTCACTCAGCGCTAACACTCATGCCCCCTGAAATTGTCCCACACTGCCCACAGCTCCATTGAGAATATCTTGAAGCTACAGGAAAACAGAGGCAAAGCCTTCTGCCCAGAGATGTCAGCTGAGCTGTGTTACAGGTCACGTACGGCCACACAGCTGAGAGCAGCAGTAGAGGAGCAGTTAGGAAGTTTCCAATCCAGAAAACAGCATGAGCCTGAGCACGGCACACAGGCCACACAGAAGCCCGTAAAGACGCGCCCGCTGTCGCAGCACACAGACGGGGCAGAGCCGACACGAAGCATTGCCGTGAAACACAGGCAGAGTTCCCAGGCCCGCTGTCTCGCGTGGATATGCACAAGTGCCCGGGTTGAACGGCCGGGTGTTCCCACCTGCTCTGATTGCTCAGAAGCTTGCTTCCGAGTTCCGGGCTGATGTTTGACAGGGCAGGCTGCTGGCAGTTTGGGGTGGTGCCATGGATGGGAACGAGCGCAGAGCTCCACACACACTGTGCCATTACTCTCGGGCCCTCTGTGAGCACGTCGTGACCTCCATGAGTGATTTGGTTTCATTCCTCACCTTCCTGCCTGTCTAACTGTGGCACCAGACCTGTGTGCCAGTCAGAACTCCCTGGGGCCTCAGCAATTCCTTAGCAAGGCACCGTCCCCTAGACAGCTGCAAGTCCCACACACCAGGGGACCGATGCCATGCCACCTGTGGCCCAGAGGGCCCAGCCAGGCGTCGTCACTATACATGGCCCTTGTGCTTTTGACCCCCTGGTGGGCTTCAGCCTCGCCTTCATTCCAGCCAGGCCAAGGAAGACCAAACGCTCTTCCGCCTGCAGGGAAGGTGGAGGCTCACTGGAGACTTGTAAGAACCCCCTTAGCCAAGGCCCGGAGCCACGCACTCGTGAAGGACAGAGCCACAGCCTGTCCGGGTCCCCCCACAGCTGCGCCCAGCTTGCTCTTCCAGGTGCTCCCTCGGCCTCCCCACACTGCAGCACCGCCTGCCGCCCATGCGCACCCTTGCCGCTCCTGAGCATGTGATACGCGCTTGGCCCCAGTAAACGCACTACGCAGAACCTCTAGGGGAGCGCCCAAGAACCAGACACCTCTGCACAGCACAGGGACTGACCCCTCCCCACCGTGAAACATCCAGAAACCACCCCACCCTCACCAAACACATGGGGAAAGGAAATGGCCTGCAGAAGTGTGTGCGCTATCCTGTGAAAAGTGCTTCCTGCTTGATGTTGTGCTGGAGATTGAGCCCTGGGCCTTCGCTCTGAGCTATATCTGCACCCTCCCCCTTTTCTTTCTTTTCTTTTTTGAGACAAGGTCTCACTAAGTGACTGTGTTGCCCAAGCTGGGCTCAAATCTGCCCTCCTCCTGCCTCACGCTCTGAGGCCTGCGAGGTTATAGGCGTGCACCGTCACACTGGGCTGGGAGAGCTGTTCCTGTGGTAAGAGATTGGCTGTTAGACTGGGGACACTCGAATGAAAGGGATGAGGGGCTGTGGGTCCCACCAGGATGTCAGGCGTGGGCACACTGGCTACAGGTAGCTCGGGCACAGGGGACACAGAGGGTCCCTGCAGGACTCGTGCCGAAGCACCCACGCCAGAGGCCCCATTGGAGAGGACCAAAGCTGAAGGCCCCCCCAAGACGCCCAAGTGGCCACTCCTAGTGCCCCTCTCTTTATCTCTGCAGGGAAGTGCTTTGGGGGCTCAGGCGACCTGCGCAGGCACGTGCGCACGCACACCGGGGAGAAGCCCTACACGTGCGACATCTGCAGCAAGTGCTTCACACGCTCCGCCGTGCTGCGGCGCCATAAGAAGATGCATGGCAAGGCGGGCGATGACGGGAGCCCGGACGTGCTGCAGGAGCTGGGCCAGGCCATCGAGGCCCCCGACCTGGACAGGTCACAGAGCTCAGACTCCTTCTCCCAGGACGTGGCTGGGACCCTGATGCCAGGGCCAGGCAAACTCCCCGGCCACACGGCTGACGACTCCGTGACAGAGTTCGATAGCCACTCTGCCGGTGGCTACTGCAAGTTACGCTCCGTGATCCCTACCCACAGCGTGAGCGAGCAGGAGAGGACGAGTCTGAGTCTGGACGCTGGCAAGCTGGCCAAGCCCCCGGTGCCGCAGGCCCCGCACCCCGCCTACACCTACCCGGACATGGATGGCCCAGCCGGCGGCGAGCCCCTGCAGGCTGACAGCATGTGCACGATCCGCTCCTCGCTGGCCACCCTGGACAACCACTGCGGGGACCCCCTGGGCGGCCGGGCGGCCCCCACGGCCTACAGGAACTCAGAGGGCCAGTTCTTCTCCAGCATGACTCTCTGGGGGCTCGCCATGAAGACGCTGCAGAACGAGAACGAGCTGGAGCAGTGATGTCCACCGGCAGAGGGCGCTCCGATGGTGCCACAGGGTGGTGCGGGGGGCACGGAGCACTTGCCGTGATCGGGAGGAAGGCCTGCATGCAGATGCTGGCCAAGCTGCGATCTCAGTCCTTAGTCACGCCAGAGCGTCAGCTACTGTACATAGGGCCATTTCAAGAGAGGATATAATAATTCAGATGTTATTTTTGCATTTTTACAGGATTGAAATTCACAGCATTTGTATTTTTTAAATTTACATAAATTCTATTTGTATATGAAACTTAATTTAATTTGAATAAATGGAACTTGGTTTTCTATATAATATGATGTTTTATCCAGAATTTTAATGAATCTGAGGGCCAGAGTGGTATAAAAAGGAATGGCAATCCCCAGAACCCTGGGCCTCATTCTTGGCACTGCCAAAAAACAAATACAAAGCAGAATCCTTGCTGGTGAGCAAGGGTTGTGCTGCATGCGGATCGGAGTGCAGCCGTCCACCTGCGCAGCGAGCCTCCGGCCTCAGGACAGTGGCTGTCCTGGAGCCACGTCCGGGGGAGGTGGAGGCCAGCACCCAGCCACTCTTCTGGGGTGCTTTCTCCAGCGCAGGTGAGCGCCTGCCAAGGCCCAAACTATCTCATCTACTTGGAGGAACCACCCAGCATCCGGCCAGGACAGGGCTTCTAAACATGTATGTCCTATGGACAGAAATATGACTACAGGCCTCTGGCACCATCTGTGTCCCCACGATGCCACCGTGTGGCCGTCAGTGTCTCCTCAGGTCTCACGCTGTCCCCAGCTGCCAACCCACATCCCGCACAGGAACCTTCCAGACTCAGCTCCTGTCGTCTACGGACTCTGCATACCCCATTCCTCTGCTGCCCAGACTAAACAACCCCCAACCGCTGCCTGCTTCCCCAGTAAGCACTGCAGGGTGCTGCTTCGCGCCAAGTGCTGGGCTCGCTGGAGGCTGGAGGCTGAAGTACGTAAGTATTACTTTGTTTCCCCAGTATGGTCGCTGCATCCAGAGCCTTCTCACTGAGCCACATCCCCAGCCCTTCTGTATTTTTTTTTTAATTTTGAGACAGGGTCTCCCTAAATGATTAAGTTACCCACACTGGCCTCAAATCGGATCCTCCTGCCTCAGCCTCCCAGAGTGCTGGGACTATAGGTGTTCACCACCACACCCAGCATAATTTGATCTTGTGGAATAAAACCTTAGGGGAGATAGGCAAAGCACAGCCTTTTAATTTTGTTTCTATTCCTGTCTACATTTCCTGTTGCCTCCCTTCCTCCCTTTGTCACCCTATGCCCAAAGCCACGCTCTTAAAAAAAAATTCTTTGGAAGAGGTGGGTATGTGTACATGGGACTTGGACACCAAGCTCTGTGGCAGTAGCCCAGGTCTTCGTCCAAGAGTGTGTGTGTGTACATGTGGGTGCGTACATGTGTGTGCATGTGCACATGTGTGTGATGCTTATGTCCACCACACACAACACTGACCCCCCGTCAGGAAGGAGAATGGACCGTGTCCCACTCTGTCCTAGGCTGGCAGTGTGACAAATGCCCTTCTCTCGCTGGTCTTCGACGTCCCGACTGGGATTTCAACTCCACTGCCCCTCGATGCCCTGTGACTAGGCTGTGACACAGTTCCTATTGAGCCCAAGAGCCTGCAAGGATCAAGCACTGCTTTCGGGAGACAGAGCCAGAGGCCCAGAGACGGTAGAGCATCAGAAAACCCCCAGCACTGAAAGGCACCTTAGAAATTCCGTCCACTGGCCGAGCTTCCTGTGAGCCTGCTGGATGGTGGGGAGGCCATGCCGGCGTTTCCAAGTGCTGATTCAGCGAGCCAGGGGCAGGGCCAGGAAGCTGCATGTTAGCAAGTTTCCCAGGAGGTGCAGAGGCTGGCGGTGCAGGACAGCACTTGGAGGGATCTGACCTGGGTTAAGTCCATGTGGATGCCCTGCGCGGTAATAACAGAGGCAGAGATGAGTCCTGCCCCTCGGGTGCCAGGTGTGATGGTAAATACGGTACACAGACCTGTGTATTTAAAGCTCATCAGAGCCCTGTGAGATAGATCCTGTGGGGAAAGCTGCTCCATGAGAGGCCAAAAAACTCACCCCGCCAGGAAGGGGCAGAGTTAGGTCCCAGGCAGTGGCTGAGTGGCAAAGGCCAAAGCTAGGACCAGATCCAGCGGAATGGAAGGCTGGGCTTGTCTGCTGGCTGGTTGATGGGTCCAGAGAACACTTTGCAGGGGCCAGGGTGTGCCCAGCGGTAGAATGCTTGCTAGCATGCCCAAGGTCCTGGGGCCTATCCCCACCCCCTAAAAAAAAAACTTGCTGTTGCAACATACATGAAACCTGAAACTCGCCTTGCTGCAGCACTTAGATTTCCCTGGCTGCCACAAAATACCTGAGAGAAATCCGCTCAGAATGCGGCTTGTTTTGTTTTGCTGGTGCTGAAGATTGAACCCAGGGCATCACACTTGCTAGGAAAGCACTCTACCACTGAGTCAGATGTGGCACAGGCCTGTAACTTCAGTACCCTAGAGGGCTGCGGTAGGATTGCAAATTTAGCCCAGCCTGGGCAACCTAATGACTTAGGGAGACACTGTTTCAAAATAAAGAGTAAAATAAAAGGTGGGGCCTGGGGATATAGTTCAGTACAAAGGCCCTGGGTTCAATCCCCAGTACTACCAAAAAAAAAAAAAAAGGAGAAAAGTTGGGCATGATGTTGCACACCTGTAGTCCCAGTTGCCGAGGAGGCTGAGTCAGGAGAAACAAGTTCGAGGCCAATCTGGGCAATTTAGTGAGATCCTGTCTCGAAATTTAAAGTAATAATACAGGGATGGGGCTGTAGCTCAGGGGTGGAGCACATGGCTGGCACACGCGAAGCCCCCTCGGTTGAGGAAAGCTCCCTTGGAATCTCAGAGCCACAGGTGACTCCTGCCTGCCCCAGGGCACGAGGGGTCGGGGAGGCGGCCAGGCCTCGGGATCCTCTCCTCCCGTGTTCCTGATCTATGCTGCTGTGTGAAGTAGCGGCTGGACAATCGCTGTGTGTGACACCGGAGGGAGAAAGGACCCTCCTAAAGCAGCGCTTGCCCGGCAGGGCACACCCGGGAGCTGGGAACCAAGCAGCCCCTGGTGCTGGCCCTGCTTAAATGACTTAGGCAGGACCATTTCCTGTCAGGTTACATCGGCCAGCGTTCCGTCACTGTGACAAAATACCTGGGACAGTCAGTGTAGGAGGAGGAAAAGGTCACCATGGCTCTTGGCTCCTGGATCCAGCGGTCCACGGTAGCTTAACCTTGCTGCTCTGGGCCCGGGGTAGCTCAGCATTTTGTAGGATAACAGGAAGGAGAGACAGTGCCCCAGCGGGGGAGACTTAAGGCAGCTCTGAAGTCACCCCCCAGTGACCTCACTTCAGACCACCTGGCCCCGCCTCCTAAAGGTTCCACCCCTCTCCGAAGAATGCACAGGGACTGAGCTTTAGGGAAAATTCCAGGCCCAGACTACAGCGGGCAGCTTCTTCCTCCCTTCCCTTTTGGCATCGTTTTTCTTAAGTGATTTAAATTCTAATTCTTTAACAGAAATTAAAAAGAAGGAGAAAAGGACAAAGGACTCTTTACCCAGAGATGCTGCTGAAGGTAAGTGTGACCTCAGGGCTTGAACAACAGCAGCAGCTCAGCCTGGCGAGGCCCCTGGCCCCAGGCCGGGCCTTTGCACCTGCCATCCCTGGCCCACAGATCCCTGGCAGCCCTGGGGGTGGTGCCCTGCCCATGCCTGATCTTTCCCCACAATCCGGCCGACGCATCCAGACACCTGATGGGTTTGGGGTGGCGCGGACCACGCCTGGCCGGCCTGTGTGCGGCGGCCTCATCCTGCAGCAAGTTGTCTCAAGCATCCTCGTCACCTCTGGCGACCCCCACCATCGGAACTCGGGCATGCTGCTGGCACCCGGATTCCTTCCGGGCCGGGTTGTGCATGCAGCCCGCTCAGCTCAGCGCTCTCCCCAGCAGGTGGCAGCATCACCATTCACAGAATGGGACTGGCGCTAAATGCCCAGGCGTCGCGGCCTGGGCCCTATGGCATCCGGAAACCCTCTGCAGAGGACACTGCGTCCCTCACCTGGTTATTCCTAAGTCCCGCCGGAAGCTTGCTGGAAGCAGCAGCCCTCGCCCCAGACTGGACAGCATGCCGGAGGAAGGGGACCCTGGCTTGGTATTCTCTGACCTTGTCCAGGGCTCTCTGTGTCCCAGACTGCTTACAGTAATCTGAAAAGGGAGATCGAAGAGGATATCAGAAGACTGAAAGATATCCCTTGCTCATGGATAGGAAGCGCCAGCATTGTGAAAATGGCCATACTCCCAAAACTGTTACACAGATTTAATGCAATCCCGATTAAAACACCATTAGCATATCTCACAGAACTAGAGAAACATTCCTAAAAGTTATCTGGAACCAGAAGGGATCCAGAATAGCAAAAGCAATCCTACGCAACAAAGGCAAGACAGGAAACATCACGGTCTCTGACTTGAAATTATACTACAAAGCTACTGCGACGAAATCAACATGCTACTGGCAAAAAAGCAGACCTGAGAACCAGTGGAACAGATAGAAGATGCAGACACAACTCCAAACACATTCAGCCACCTTATCTTTGACAAAGGGGCCAAACATGTTCACTGGAAGGAAGATAGCCTCTTCAATAAATGGTGCTGGAAAAACTGGCTCTCCACGTACCAAAGACTAAAACTAGACCCATGTCTATCACCATACACTAAACTAAAGTTGAAATGGATCAAAGATCTAAATATTAAAACAGAAACACTAAATCTACTGGAAGATAAAGTAGGGAGAAATCTTGAAGACATAGGGGTAGGTAGAGAGTTCATGAACAAGACCCAGACTGCATGGGAAATACTTCAAAGAATCAACAACTGGGATATCATCTTATTGAAAAGTTTTTGCACAGCAAAAGAAATCAATCACCAACAGAGTGAAAAGACAACCCACAGGATGGCAAAAAATTTTAACCAACTGTCCCTCAGACAAAGGATTTATATCTAGAACATATAAAGAACTGAAAAAAATCAGATCCCCCCCAGATTCAAAGATCCAATCAAAAAATGGGCATCTGAGATGAATAAACACTTCTTAGATGAAAAAATACAAATGGCAAATTAATATATGAAAAAATGGTCAACATCATTGGTCATTTGAGGGACACAAATTAAAACAACACTGAGATTCCATCTCACTCTAGAAAGAATGGCTGTCATCAGGGAGTCAACCAATAACAAATGCTGGCAGGGCTATGCGGAAAAAGGAACCCTTCGCCATTGTTCCTAGGAATGTAGGCTGGTGCAACCGTTGTGGAAATCAGTCTGGAGATTCCTCACAAAACTAGGATTAGAGGTCCCATTTGACCCAGCTATTCTCCTGGGTATCTTCCCAGAAGAATTAAAAACATCATACCCCAGTGATATATGTGCACCCATGTTTATAGCAGCACAATTTGTCATAGTTAAATCTTGGAAAAAACCCAAATGCCCATCCACTGAGGAATGGATAAAAGAGATGTGGTATTTTTATACAATGGAGTACTACTCAGCCATAAAGAAAGATAAACTTGAGACTTTTATAGGTACATGGATGCAATTTGAGATCATACTTATTAGTGAAATAAATCAGACTCAGATGTGTAAACATCATATTGTTTACATGTAAACAATCGTATTTATTATGTAAACATCGTATTTATTCTCCCTGGTGTGAGAAACTGAAAGAGTAAATAAGTTCTAAAATGTACAATAGATATTGTGAAATGGGAAGAAATTGTTCAAAAAGAAAAAGGAACTAGGATGGGTGAAAGGGGAAAAACAGTGGGGAAAAGGGGAAAAAGTGTAAGTCAGTTATACTATTAGTGTCTCTCAGTTCATTAAAAAGGAAGGTTTGTGCTAATATCAATTGGAAAAATTTTTATGCCCATATCTTGTACCTTCAGCTTTAAAGATAACATGTACGGGGCTGGGGATTTAGCTCAGCAGCACAGCGCCTGCCTGGCAAGTGCAAGGTTGTGAGTTCAATTCCTGGTAACAATCAATTCCGATAACAACCAAGAAAACCAAGGGGGAAAAAAAAAAGATAACATGTAATATTTTAACTATTGTTATTCTCTTATTATTTTGTTATGAAATTTTGTTTTACTTTTTGCCATTAAAAAAATGGCTATAAGCACTGGGGGAGCCTTGAGCAATACTGCGCTGCCTGAAAGATACTGGCCCTGAGGGCTGGGCGCTGCATGACCCTGACGAGGTGAAGGTCCAGTCCAGGCACCCCCAGAGGAGCAGGAAGCGGAAAGGTGGTTCCAGGGAGTAGGCGATGCTGCCTGATGGGCGCAGAGTTTCTGTCTGGGGCGATGAACTGTGGTGGAGCACGTGCCCCTGAATGTACATGGAGAAGCCCTGACCCTCCATGACTGCATTTGGAGCTGGGGCCTTCAGGGCGGTGGGGAGGTGAGATGGGGCCCTCAGGTGGGGCTGCCCCGACTCCCTCCTTCCCCCGCTCGCTCTGTCTGGGACTCGCATCCTCCAGAGCGGTGGGAGACACCTTCCGGGGCCTAGGCCTCGCGGCGGGAGGCGTCTCCTGTGGCCACCCAGCCGACCTTGTGCATGCACCAAATGTCACTGAGCTGTGCCCTTTAAAGTGGCAAAGGTGGCAAACTCTGTGTTATGTCTATGTCACCGCGTAAACACGGTGATAACAAGGAGCCGCATCCCATAGGGTGTCCCGAGGATGGAGTGGGTCTGACCACCCGGCTGACTCCGACCTGACCGGGACAGCTAGACTCAGACCCTTTCGTGTTTTGCAGCGATCTGGTGGAGCCCAGGGCCTTGCGGCTGCCAGGCACGTGCTCTACCACTGAGCTACACACCCCGCCCCTCCCGTTCTGTCTTATTTTGAGGCAAGCTCTTGCTACATTGCCCAGGTGGCCTCAGGCTTGGGACTGCAAATCTCCAACCCGGCCTGACTCTCCCAGCCCCCAGCCTGCTTGCTGGTAGAAGCCCTACTGTGCAGCCCAGCACTCGGCGAACACAGGAAAGGAGGTAAGATGGGACAAGGAAGTGTGCAGGTCCTGGAGACACCCACAGATTTATGACACCCAAAAATTCAAAGGGCTCAGCCCACTGAGATGCAAGATTCCAGAAAACCTTAAGCACAGCTGTTCACTGGGCTCTTCCTGCCTAATGTCCTCTGCCTTCTCTCCATCCCTATAGAAGGGACACGCTTCTCTGTGTTCAGGGCAGAAGGTCCTGTCGCACTCTCTGCCTGAACCCAGGCACAATAAATGCCATGCCATGTTGTCTTTGCATGAGCCTGGGGTCTCTGCTGCTTATTTATGTCACAGGGTTCCTCCTGCCTCTGCCTCCTGAGTAGCTGGGATTACAAGTGTGCCCCACTGCCTTTTTTCTGCTTTTTGCTGAGGAGGCAGGAGCAGCAATCTCTGGACAGTGTCTGGAGTGGCCTACAGTCCAGAGCCAGCCACCCTCGGGCCTGGCTTTGGGTTAGGCAACACAGCAACCATGGGCATATGGTGGAGAGTGAAGCAAGCCCATTGCTGGCCAGCCTGTGAGGAGGGCAGCTCAGAGCACCCCTGCTGCAAACCCCACCTTCCTCACTTGCCTCTTCTGCAAATGTCATGATAATTGTGCCCATCTCAGTGGCTACTGTGATGATTAGAAACCAGATCCAAACCCAGGAGGAGGTAACCTGAGATTAACGTGGACCTTTGCCACTGTTCTCTCATGGGGGTGGCAGGAGAACATGGACTTTGAGTTCTTCTGCTCACGGCCAACTTCTCCAGCTCGGAGCACTATCTGGAATATAACACTCACACAATAGAGAGTTCTGAATGGACAGTGGGGATGGATCTTCCATTAAACAATATAATTGAGTCGCATCAGTCAGCTTTTCCATCGCTGGGACACAATACCCAACACCTACAACTTACTGGCGAGGGTTAATCTGGCTCATGGTTCCAGAGGATTCGTCCATGGTGAGCTGCTCCAAGGCAGGAGCATCATGGTGGAAGGGTATGAGGGAGCAAAGCTGCTCAGGTCATGGTGCCAGGAAGCAGAGTAAGGGAATAGCACCAGAGAGGAAGGGTTCAGGACCCAGACTGAGTCCTCAGTCAGTATCACCCTGCACGACCCACCTAGACACACCCAGAAGTGTGCTTTACTAATCCCCTGGGAGGCTCCTGAGCCAATCAAGTCACCCAATTCAGCTTACCCAACACACTAATTATTATAGCTGTTGAAGTAACCTGTAATGATTTTACGCAAAATTCAAGCAAAGGTTAGTGACTGTTGTGTGTACCTGCGCTGGCTGCAGAGCCATAGGTTGAAACCATGGCTTCTGGTACTTCAAGTTGTGATCTCGATTACAAGTAGGATCACCTGCCAGCATCAGTTGAAATGAAGTCCCACTGGAGTAGGTAGACCTCTGATCCGGTATCTTTGTGAGAGGAGGGAATTTGGAAATACAGATATGCCCACAGCAAGAACATGATGTGAGGACAAGGGAGGGGTGGCAGGGATGCACCTACAAGCCAAGGAACCCAGGCTGCCTGCCACAGGGCCCTTAGGAAGAGCCAGGCTGACCACACCTTGATCTCCAACTTCTGTTTCCAGAGCTGTGAGGGAGAAACTTGTGTTATTTAAGCCACTCACTCAGTTTGTGGTACTTTATTACAGCTGCTGGAGCCAACTAAGCTACACATGCTTGCAAGACTGAAATACAAAGCAACAAGGTCTCCAAATCTAATTCACACTATGCATAGGTGTGTAGAGAATTATAATTTCTTAATTCTTTCTCAGGCCAGGTAGTGCAGAGAAATAACAAAAATATCTGATCCAGTTTAAAACTTGGGAGCAAGCTGGGCATGGTAGCACACGCCTGTAATCCTAACACTTGGGAGGCTGAGGCAGGAGGATCACTGTGACTTCAAGGCCAGTCTGGGCCTTTTGGGGAGTTCAGGAGCAGTCTAAACTACAGAGCAAGGCCTTGTCTCAAAAAAATTAAAAAATAAACTTTGGGAGAGTGTAAAGAATCCCTCAGGAAGGGCCCACTTTCCCAACCATCCCCACCCCCTTAGTAGTCCCCTAATATGAATGGGGGGGGCGCTAAGACTCATGGCTTCTCTTGCCGGTGGGAGGCACCAGGGTCCCTGGGTCATGGGCTGCCCACTCCAGAAGCAGCTGGCCTACTGAGGCCTGCTCGGATCTGCAGCCAGGGGGCCGGCCTTAACCATGTTCTCAGGAACCCTCAGCTTGCTCAGAGCCAGAGAACCTTGGTGTGACAGCTCCCAGTAACCCGCTCCCCGCCCGCAGGCCCTGAGCTGGCCACACCCCCCACCAGCCTGGCTCTGCTGTGCCCCTCCCCCAGGCCTCCCTCAGCCCCCAGGTGTCATGACCTGCCCCAAGGGGAGGGTCCGCTGGATCTACCGTCTTTGCTCAATACTCATCGCGAAGCAGGGACCTGAGCAGCCTCCTCTTGAATTACAGCAGCAGGGGCCAACAGGGACAGACGGCTCCATCTGACTTTGTGACTTCCCTCCCCGAACACCCTGACCTCCTACAGCCTGCAGCTGGCCTCAGGGCGCCTTATGCCATGGGCAGTCAGGCCTGGCCTGTGATGAGCAAAAGGATGGCCTAAAGGAATTTTGAAAACCCTACCTCCCAGCCCAGCCCTGCCTTTGGGCTCTGGGTCACCGCAGGACTTGCCGTGCACACTGGAATCCTGCATCCCTGCCTGTGATCCACATGACCCACGCATTCCGCCCTGATGTTCTGAAATGCACCCTGCGCCCCACCAAGGCAGGACGACGCTTGATCACTGTGGAGGAAGGCCGTGTGCCCAAACAGCTGAAGAGAAGCAAAATTAATGATTCTCCAAACCATGCCCCTTAGAATCACTCAAACCTAATGCAGAAGATGAGCCTGGCCGGGGACAGGGGCCGTGGTACAAGCCATATCTGGTGCGTGACCTGGGCAGCTGATCCAGTGCCCGGAGCCTGTTCCCAGCTGACAACAGGCGACTCAGTATGCTGCCCTTTAGTTAGGGCCCCGGGATAATAAGTCTAAAGCTCTTCCTCTCATTTTCCTTTCCTCTACTTTCCCTCATCCACTAATTTGCACTTCACTTTCTCTTCTGTGCATACATGGAAATGGATATCAGCTGTTTCCGTAATACAGTCTGCATCCTTATATACTTACACATACTTTGTACACACTTTCATTTTATACATGTGTACATATAAGTGAATTTGCACATAAATGTATTCTGAAAACAAATTGTGCACAAGGAAATTTTGTTTTGTTTTGTTTTTCAAGACAGGTCTTGCTATGTGGTTCAGGCTGGCCTGGGGCTCACTATGGAGCCCAGGCTGGCCTTGAACTGGTGGGAATCCTCCTGCCTGTCCTCCCAAGTGCTGGAATACAGCCGTGTGCCACCACACCCTGGTAGAAAATGTTCATAAAGTGCCTGGCATGGAATCAGGCATATGACAGCCACTTAATCAATTATAGTTATTATTGTTATTTTTACCTTCTATAAGAACATTTGGGGGCAGAGAATGACTCAGAGAAGCCCTGAACACAGCACTGGAGCAGCTGGTCAGGAAGTGACAAGCTGTTTCCTCCCAGGCAGGAGCCCATGGGAAGGGCCTTTCCAAGATGGGTGACCACAGACTGAGTGATACAGTGTCTTAGTTACCATCTCATTGCTGGACAAAATACCCCGATACCCGCAAGTCAAAAAAGAAGAGATTTGCTGTAGTTCACAGTTCATAGAGGTTTCAGCCCGTAGTCAGCTGTGTCCAAGGCAGGGTGGCGGGGCAGAGGAGCCTGGCAGAGGAGAAACAGTCCATGGCAGGGCAGGCAGGAGGAGGAAGCAGCCAGCCTTCTGGACTTTTATCCCATCCAGCCTATAAGCCTGGTTGGTGCCACCCACACCCGGGCGGGGCATCCCTTTGTCCACATCCAGCACGTGCTACACCAGTCAGTGAACTAATTTAGTACCACACACTATTCCTGGCATCACACACTTGTGACCCAGCCGGTTCCTCAGAGCCTCACTTCAGGAGGCTTAGGGGGCCATGGAGGCAGGAGCCCTAACAGACAGAAGGGCAGAGGAAGGGGCTGCGTGTGGCGCTCTCATCCAGGTTCTGTCCCTGCGCTGCCTCAGCTCCCCTGCGTTATGCTCCCAGGGCAGATGTGTGCCTTGGGGCCGAACTCTGTGCGGCCCACACACAGCCCGCCCTTGCCTTCCGATTCTGGCTGCTCTGTGTCTCTGAGCCGTCGTCCCTGTGCACGCTGCGGGTGACAGATAGCACACGACCATCTGTGTCTACGAAGGACCTGCAAATCCCGTCCTGTCCAGCAGAGGTTCTGCCGCTGCTCCCCTGCTGTGAGAGCCGCTCCCCTCGGTCTCACATTCTACTCCCGCTCCCGGATCCAGGGCCGGGGTGTGGCTCGGCGGCAGAGCACTTGCAGAAACAAAAAAACTACTCCTGATGAAAGATGTGACTGTTCTTTCAATTCTCCTTTGACCCGAGTAAGAATCTGTCCACTTCCCTCCCTAACTCATGAGCAAACTGAAAAATATTGTTTTATTTTTTTGAGACAGGGTCTCACTACGTAGTCCAGGCTGGCCTTAAACTCACTGTGTAAGCCAGGCTGTCCTCGAGCTCTCAGTGATCCTCCTGCCTCAGGCTCCCTAGTTAGTGCTAGGAGCACAGGTGTGGGAGACCGCATCCAACACTGAAATCGTTCACGTATGCTCATTTGTATTTCTGCATGAGAAGCATGACCTCACCTTTCTTGAAAGTTACTTTTTAGCAGATTTCTAACATGTGTCCACACTCAGAGATGTTCTCTTGTTTGCTCTTTAATGTACGCCTGAATCTGGCCGAGCCTCAAAGGCAGAGTGCATGGCCCTGCTCAGCTGCCGTAGCAAAGCATCTGGGCGGGTGGCACACACAGCAGAGACCACTGCCCCTTGGCGGGGCGGCTCCAGAGGCTGCAGGCCTGAGGCCCCGTGCAGCAGCTCGGTGGCCCCGAGCCTGTCTCCTTGGCTTCTAGCTTCTGTCTTCTGCCTGTGTCCTCACGTGGCCTCGTCTCTGTGCTCGTCTGCGTCCTGCTTGCCTGCCCTTACAGGTGCACCCGTTGGGTTGGACAAGGGCCCGTCCAGATGACCTCATTTTAAATTCATTATCTCTTTAAAGGCCTGATTTCCAAACAGTCACATTCAGAGGCTGAATTTGGGGGACACAATTCAGCCCAAAAGATGGAGCAAGAGACAGCAGCAGCCAGAGTCCGTGGCAGGGAGGGACACTGTTACGGCCTGGCTGGGCTGAGGGGTGGGTGGGGACCCTGTGAGGTGACCCGTAAGCATCTCCTGAGCCCCCAGGGCTTGTGGCCTGAGACCAGTTAATGGATCTGCCCGTCATTTCCAAATCCCAGAGCCTATGGCATCCACACTGAGACCAAAGACAGACACACCCGACTGCTAAAGGAAGCGGGTCGCTTTCCTGCGGGTCTGTCTGGGTCTCAAGCGAGCAGGTGATGTCAGGGCACTCTGTGGAAGACTGTGTGATTGTCAAAAAAAAAAAAAAAAAAAAAGAGTCCCATACCCTGGGGCTTCTTCCCACCAGCAGGCCACTGGCTCTGGGGGAGAACGGGTGCAGGCCTCCCTAACAACCACGCGACCTTGACGTGGAGCTCAAACCTGACCTCGGAGCTCAGGACATCTCGACACTCCTGTTGACATAAAACTGGGGTCCCTGAGTCCTGTGTTCCTGGCCCCTCATCACTCTGTCCCCCTCCAGTCTTGCACCTGAGTCCCCTAAGGACTTCCCAGGGGACCGGTGACAACCACGGGCCTCACCAACAGAAGAGATGCCAGAATGACCAGTTGGTGCCCAGCTTCTGTCCCTTGGGCCCCTGAATACACATGGGGCAATTTCCTGCCCTGCTCTGTTATTGATAAGGCCCTGCCTCACTCTAAGACTATACAAATGTAGTATGATTTTTGTATTTATAAAATACATAAAGAGACAGGAGCCAGGGGAAATTAGGGACACAGGATAACGAGGGGACACGGTTGCTACATGGAAATGCATAATGTGCTGTTAAGTGTCATCATGTGTGTGACCTCGCAGAATTTATAGGTAAAACCCTGATTCCTGGCATGGCTCTATTTGGGGATGAGGCTTCTAAGGATGTTACTAAGCTAGGTGAGGTCACAAGAGTGGGACCCAGACCCTAAAGGACTCATGCCTCACAAGGAGACCCACCTGACAGCTAGCCTGCTGTCCTTCAGGAGTAACAGAGGCCGTGTGAGGACGCAGCAAGAAGATGCTAGGTCCCATGACCTCACTTGGAAATCGAGTTGTTTAGATATAATTAGGTTAAGATGAGATCAGACTGGACTAGGTTAGGGGATTGGCATCCTTATAGAAAGGGGAAACTTGGACACAGATACATTCAGAGAGAAGGGCAGGTGCAGACTGGACTTTGGCTGCGACAAACCAAGGAAGTAGCAGAATCCAGGAGAAAGACTGAACCAAGAACAGAACCTTCCCTCATGCCAGTGCCTGGAGTTCAGACTTCTGATCTCGAGGTCCATGAGACAATCAATTTCCGTTGTTTAATCCCCTCAGTTTATGGTATTTTGTTATGACAAGCCCAGAAAACTAATACACAGCTCCACCTTTACCCATGAGATTCCTAGTGGCCAAAGCAAGAAGGGCATCTGTTATTAGACTCAGCATTTCATGCAGCCTAAGCTGGCCACTGCAGCAGAACTGACAGTTCCAGGGCTCTGAGCACCTGGTTCGTGCTTAAAACTTAATGGGGCTTGGCATTTTTATTACATAATTTTTCTTGTTTTGTGTTTGTTACCCACTGAATTTTTTCCTATGAAATCATCACTTTGGAAACAGTAGACAAGAAACTAAGTTTCCCTCCAGCCCTGTGGTTGTAAGATTTTACAGTCCTCTTTCTGTGGTTGGTGTCGGTTTTCATCAGAGGGAAAGAGCCCATATAGAAATACACATGCTAAGGGCTAAAGAAACCCCGCAGGGCGGGCCAGGGCTGCTTCCCAGGCTGTCCCCAGAGCTGCAGATGCAGTGTGGCTGGCGAGGGTGGCCGAGGGCAGGAAGAAGCCACACATGTGCTCTGGATTTCACTTCCTGCCTGGCTGAGGGAAAGGTCACCCGTGGCCCGTGTGCTACCCCTTCCCGCAGGGTAGTCCTGGGCAGTCGCTTGGCCTCTCCAGGCCATGCTGGCCAAAATGACAATGACAGTTTGAGCACCCACCCAAAGAGCAGGCCTTCTGGGGGAAGCACCTGGCCTCTTCCTGCCCAAGCCAGGCTGCCTGTCTGCTCCCCTCTGCTGCTAGAGCAGAGGCCTGGTCCACAGCACAGGGCTTCCAGATGTCCTGAGGTAGAAGATTCACCTGTAATCCCAACACTCCAGGAGGCTGAGGCAGGAGAATTGAAAGTTTGAGCTCAGCACAGGCAGTTTAGTGACTTAGTGAGAACTTGTCTTGATATATAACATAATATAGCGGGGGGTGGAGTGTGGCTCAGGAGGATCAGGAGGGTCAGGAGGCTGAGGCAGGAGGATGGCAAGTTCTAGGAGGGCAGATCCTGTCTCAAAAAGAAAACGAAAAACAACTAAAAACACTAACAAAGGATGAACAATGCCCAGGTGACTGCTGTGTCTGGGTTCTGGCATCCAGCACCCCTGCAATCCTTGTAACAGCCCTGTGGGGTGCTTGCTGCTGTTGTCGACTTACAGAAGGGGAAACCAAGGCACAGAGCGGTGACATAACGGAGCCTGGGGAGGTCAATGCTGAGTGTGGGAGCTCTCTGACAGCCCGGGTGGGCAGGGCAGCTGCCTCTCAGTGACCTGGGCTGTGCTGTCCGCTCATCCTGCCAGCTGTCCCTGCCACCGCCATAAGCTCTGAATCAGTGTCCTGTGGCCACTGGACGAGTGACTCTGAGTGGGCGGAGCACAGCAGCACATCAGCCCCTGGATCACCAACACATCAACACACCAAGGCCCCGGAGGCCACCAGCCTCTGCCCGGTGCTGGTGGGGCTGTCTCTGCCAGCTTCTTTGGTTTTAGGGGCAGAGTCATCTGACTACACTGTCCTCAAGCGTCTTTCTGTGCTAGCGCAACCCATCTGCCCCACGCCCCGCACTTGTGCCACCCGGCCACATGTGCTGTGTGCCGACCTCCACCCACCTAGGTCCTGGGCAGAGCCTGCTTGACTGCTTCTGGCGGTTTCTGGCCTGCGTGGGCTCCCAGCTGTGTCACTTCGTTCTCTGCCTCAGTCGTCATCTGTTTCCTCTCTGTCTCTTTTCTTCTCCTCAGGACCCCAGGCATGGAGGGCCTAGGGCTCACCCTCTCGCAGCGTGGCCTTCCCTTAGTTAAGGGCATCTGCAGTGGCACTTTCCGCTAAGCTCTGAGGTGCCAGTGGACGTGAACTGGGGAGGATGCCGCTGGGTGCAGCCCAAGCCTTCAATGCTCGAAGCCCGTATCGAGAAGACTGGGCCTGCGAGTGCGTCCCTGGTACTTGGGCCCTGACGGTGTGCGGATTTTTGCTTTCGGTTGGCTCATTGTCCTTCCTTGAATCTCCACACCAGGCCTGTCCCCACCCAAGACACCAAGCTGCAGCTGTGTTGTCAGGCGCTCGGGAGCAGGGTTGTGAACAGGAGGCCCACAGCAGGAAACGCTCCCA